TTTTTCATATTTTTGTATTCATTCTAATCGAACCAAACAAAACCTGTTAGGCGCTGTTAATGACGGTGTTTGTATATTTTTCCAACAAAAAAAATATTGTTTTCTGTTTAAAAAAAATACATAGTTGATTTGACACATAATCTTACAAAAACGTTTAACTAGTAATCAAATACGTTTAGAGGGTGTGTGGTTCAGACAGATGAATGAAAATGAGTAAAAAAATGAAAATGACAGAGAATGAAATTAGAATGGATTTTCATTCCCCTAAGTTTAACCTAAAATAATATTTTGAGCTTCTGAATGAATGAACCCATTATAATATAAAAAACCAAACAGTTTTTTTATTTTCAATATCATTAATTACTGCTTAATACTCTTACCGAACACCCCCTTATTGTTTATATAGAAAAAATATATAGTACTTCTTGATGTTTGCACAATAAATCAGTAAAATTTTCCAACATATAATTTAAAAAAAAAAAACAACTTAAAGAAAACTTATCTGAAAAACACAATAATTTCTTGATATTTGTTCAATAAATTATTGAACATGTAAATATAACAAAAACAACCGAACAATCACTTAAATCTGATTTACAAGTAAAAAGTTATGAACTRACAAAAATGTCGCTACATACATACACGATCCTTTACGTAATGGATAAAAAATATATTAACTGTATATGACCCAGTAATATAATATGTAAAAACTGAAATTTTTAAAAATCAAACTTTTTTTTCAAAGTATATAGTATTTATATACGACAAATAAAATAAATAAACTCAGACACTATTCACACATTTGATGATATTTGAACCCCGAACCTTGAACTTGTAATAAACAATCATGGAGATGATATCCATAAATTACACCATAACACAAAAACCAAAAAAAATTTGTCTACTTTCAATAATGTGATTAAAAATACAACTAACATGACTACTATGATAGACTTGGGACTATGTGAGATCAAGGGTTTTTCGTGAGACTCATAAGACCAATTCTTAATCCTTGAATTAAATCTACAACCTGAACATTCATAAACGCCACGAGACTTCTCAATAATCACA